ACATCTCTGAACTCTGACTTGACTTTCATGTTGTAGAAACCCATTCAATTACTAATCCATACAACAACACTGCTATTCCTACATAGCATTGTTCACCAAAACCATCCATTCTCCTGCATTTCCCCAATTCCTTTGGAGTTAAAGATTCAATGTTTGGAAATACAAATACTTCTTGAGTCCCAAGAAACTAAAGGTTAGCAAGGGTTACTTCCCCACTCCCGCTCCTACCACCCATCCCTGCCTCTCCAGCGTCCCCACCCTTACCTACTGCTGTTCAGTACATTTTCAGTCACATTGGTGGCAAACATGCCCTTATGGACATCTCGCTCATGAACAAAAAGAACATAAGAGAGGCGTCTTGCAAGCCATCCTCGGTGCCTGCAATGTGAAAATGATTTAGCAGAGTACTCTAGGCATACCTACAACAAGTTGCTTCAATTTTACAGTGATTTTCCGCCCATAAAAACGAAGATTAATGTCATTGATTCCTGAGATTTAGAATTCTCCTATAGCAAATTCTTAGTAGTTCAGGATGCATGTGCAGCCAATTTTACTCATAATTTCATATACTCTCAGCTAAAATTAAAACTTGGAATTTGTGTATTAATACTTAAATAGTGTTACTTTGCTTCATAATAACAATGTAAAAACGAAAGAAATTAAAACATCTAACTTTATTAATATTAAAAAGGCAAATATGCTACATATAAGTTAAACACATACATACACACACATGGATACTTCAAAAGTTTATGGAAAGATAGAATTAAAAGAGAATACAAATCTTTCCATGAACTTTTTGAAGTACTCTCACATATGCTATATAGCTTATAGTTATGGCTCTGGGCTATAAAAAGAAAAAATTAGAAGTCTTTTCCTACCATGAAGAGCTAATTTATTATATTATTATTATTATTATTATTATTATATTTCTCCTAAAGTAATCGGACAAGTGAATTGAGAAGGCTGAACAGCTGAGAAAAGTCAAGCATAACTGGTCTCTGATCTGAATATTTATACTCTGGGCACACAAGGCCTGAGGTTCTTACTTTTTTTTATTTTTTTCTTCACACTTTCAACAAACCTAAGGGATAGGACATATTCCTGTCAGTGACAGTGACTGTGTGGTGTTCAGACTGGAGGATGGAAAGATGGATTTCAGACTAAGAATGCTACAAACTTTCGTTATGTAATGATTTGAACCCAATTGTAATGATTATATAATGCCACATTACCATTTCTTTCACAATGATAGAGATAGTAGATTTCAAATATAAATTCATTAACTCCAAGAAAATCCCAAAAGCTCTCAACTGAGAAGTAATTTGAGAGAACTGTTTATGAGTTACGTGTTTCTTCATCTCTCCATCCTCCTTTCCTTTGTCTCAATGTTCTGAAAACGTGGCCCAAAATGTCAAGTGTTAATTCTAAACTCTTTCTTCAGTGAACATTTTCAGAATTATTACTGGAATGCACAACGTCCAAGCT